GAGCCCTGAGGAGCATCGCTTCTGTCCTGCTTAAAACCCGTCTCCCTCGGGCTGCGTGGGCAGGGCTGCCTGGTGGCGAAGCTCTCCTTCTGCCTCCCGAGCAACACGGACCACGCTGGCACGCAGCAGCTGCATGGTCGTGCCGCGATGGAGCGAGAGGTCCAGGGCAGGGGAAAGACCACCATAGCTATAGATAAGCAGTTACGGCAATATAAACATCTAGGTATGCACAAAGGTTGTTTTCTCCCTGAGTTTTGTTTTCAACAGCTGGCTGCTCAGAGCACAACGTGAAGGGCGCACAGGTCAGCTAGAACAGGTACACAGTGATAGCTGGTCAGGACTTTTTGCACTTAGAGCTGTGAAGGAAATCTCTGAGACATAAAATACGTTTTCTCACATCCAGAGACAAAAGTTCATTACTGTCATTTCTAACAAGGGAGTTTGGCTAACCCGATTGTGCTCGTATCTGGCTTTTTTCAGAGGCTGAACTGACTTTTAATTAAGTCAAGGTAGTTAACTTGCTCACAAAGGCAAGAACGGACAAGCCGTTATCATGTTCTGAAATGAAGCTTTTTATTCTTTGTATATTAACCTGAGCCCTGTGTAGCAGAGGCATTAGGAGAAAGTGCTAAGAGACATGAATTGCCCCATTTATTTGAAATTATTTTAATGGCTGTATTCACTCGAATGCAATAGTAATACCGGAAAGGCTGAGATGTCAGAGTGCCGACATTTCGTGTCTGATCCCTGTGGTGATTTATTTCATTGTGGTGCCATGTGTAAAAAGACTACTTTAAATGCATTTTCTTTATCAATACAAGCATTAGCTAGTATGTGTTCAGATACCTAAACAATTGCAGAGCACCCACAAAAATTACACAAGTATTTGCAAATTGTTAATTGCAAATATCAGGCAAAACACTATCAATTATATCTAACAAGCGTGAATAACTTCCCATAGGAAAAATCGGGGGGCAAGATCTGAAACATGTTTTTATTATTTATTCTTAGAAAATATTTATATTGTATGCTACAGACCAAGTAAGTATAAAAAGGCTGGGAAGTCTGTATTTAAAATAATGTCAAATGTACTCACATTTTGCAAATTACTAAAGGAAAATGCTTCTTTTTTTCTGCTAAAAGAATAGTTTCTGATTTAAATCACAATTGCCTATCTATTCAACTTTTTATCCGACTTGAATAATTCAGTAAAACAATTAGTGGCCCAAAATGACTTTTTCTGTCAAAAGGAGAAGTCAGACGCTGACAAAAATAACAGTGCTATTGCTGTTCTCATTTTAAGTTCCAGGTATTTTCTCTTTTTTTTTTTTTTTTTAACTTTTAACCTTTTTTAATAGCAAGTGAAAGTAAAATTAGCAATGGAGTAACTGAAAGGGATCGGTTTGAGAAGACAGAAAGGGGACATTTGGGCAAGGTCTCTTCCTTTAGCTGAACAGCTCGACCCAACTGAGGCGAGGCTGCACATTGTTTCGGTCTCCCCCAACCTGCTGTTTTTCAGAGCAAAAGGAGTTGAAACTTAACATGTATGCCAGCTGTCGTTTGAATTTATTTTGAATATTAGAGCCAGATTTTTACCACCGAGCCGTACCCAGGGACCCTGTTGCCCCAGTAACGCTAGCAAAACCACCCTGGTAGGGTTTCGCGGGAGACCTCAGCAGTTCCTTGCTGTTCACGCCACATGCAGCACGGCTGCCGTTGTGTGAGCCCCACCCTGATAAGCCATTCGGCCGAATCTTCTGCTGAGTTCTGCTATGTCCAGATTCCACTCTCTGCATCTGAGTTGCCACAGTTTTTGAGCACATCAGTTCTATAGCTCAGGGAAAGCTGCATAATTACAGACGCTAAAATAATGTGATTCACAGTTTGTTCCCAGTGAAAAGTGCCTTTTAGCTTTCAGAGTCTGAAAATAACCAGGCTGTGAAAATTTGAACTGTTTTTTTCACATAGCACCAAACCAAAATCCCCCCGTTACTTTATCCTGTCTCCAATCTGATTTCAAAAATCAGCCGGCTTTCGGTGGCCTCACACCTTGCACTGGCTCTAGGATGCACAATCAAGAGTATATCAAGCCACCCCTAAATTCCCTGTGCATCTTGTATTGTCAGCTCAGGCGTCTCAGTGAAACCTATCCACTTTGCTTCACTGAACTGCAAGCAAACCTTCAATTCTTCATTTTGTAATACACCATAATAAGCCTTGTGAAGCAAATAAAGATAAGATGGAATTTTCAGTTATGATGTGATTCTGGAGCACATCTTCATCTGGCTTTGTCTGATACGAAGCTTTCTGGAGCCTTCTGGTCCCTGAATCCAGTATCCCGTGGCAGATACCACAACACAGCATCCTGGCCTAGCAGTTACTGTTCTTCAACACATAAAAACAGCAGCATGAAGTGTTGTAAACAAAGCTTAATCCACAGACAAAAAAGACCATTTAATAGGACATGCTGGCAAAAATATGCCTCAAAAAAAGTTGATGAAACCAGGTATTAAATCCGTTAGTGGAGTGGGGACCGTAACAATGATGTCCACAATTGTAACAGATTTGAAGATTCACAACGTGACAATTTGCATGTGATCTTTAATGTTCAAACAGTAACAATGGCTACTTTTAAATTAAGGTTACAAAACCCCAAAATTTTCAGTGAAGAGGCATTGCAAGAGTTGAGATGAAGAAACATATTTCTTCCAAAAGCCAAAAGTTTTTAACCAAGGACCACAAATACCTAGCCACTAGTGTAACTCTGCGTAAGTATCATGCCATTCAGGTTCTTTTACAAACATGTCAGTTTTAGTGTTTCAGGGGGCAAAAGATTTGCAATCAACACCTAAAGAGAAAGAGAAGTAGGAAAGAGAAGAGTACAGGAAAGATGGGCGGTGATGGGAGCCCTCGTCTTGTGTGCTTGGGTGCAGAAGGTTGTAAAGATTTGAAGTTGATATGAAAACCTCATATGAGACCAATATGGTTTTATGACCAGAAGCCTCCCTTAAAATAAGGTTGATGAGTGGTAAATATTCAGCAGCCTGGGAGCTGGCGGGATGATCACAACATCAAGTGTCCTGTGCACCACTGCTATTCAAGGTGCCCGCAATGCAAATATTTGCTCACTTACATCACAAGTGAGATCATCTCCAGGATTCATAGGAGGGGAATGATTTAAATCGGAATTTCTCTTTATAGAGAAGCTCAGAGGTAGAAGAGAGCATGGCGAAGAGCACGCAACCAATTTTTCAAGAAAAAACTATAGGTAGATAAGATCTGAGCTATAGCTTATTTGCTTAGTAGGGTACCTCCTGAAGTCCCACCTTGGATTTGAATTAGACAAGCCACTGCATCCATTCCTGTTGAAACACATGAGTCAGGGCTCAGTCAAAACAGGTACAGGTCATTCTCTCAGAATCCATGTGGAGAGAAAATTGTCCTACTGTGCTATGTGCCATCTTTTATGGCACCATGCTATAAGCCCCTCAAAGGTCAGTTCTGAGCTAGCTGAAGGACAGGGAAAGGGACCAAAAAATCTTGCTGCACTAAGAAATTCCCCAGGGGATTTCCTCTATGGTTAGCAGAAACCTTGGGATGAGACAGATCTGCAAGACCTGAGATGGTGCGGGGCAGAAGGAGCAGATAACCTGAGGAGGAGAACACCACAACTCACGAGGAACGTACAGCAGTGTGTGTTGACCCCACTCCATCTTCCAGCAGAGTTCTCTTACACACCTGGAGTTTCCACCTCTTTAGCCTGACTTTTTGTGCAGGAGGGTAACTTGGCCCGAGTAGGTACGTCAGGATTTGACTCTTAGACTTGCCAGGCTCCCCAGGATGCAAAGCCTGTTTCAGTCTTATTTTGATACAACCCAGACAGTTATACTTAGTATGCAAACTCAGAAAAAATGTTATTTAGCCATTCTAAATACACACATTCAACATTGCCATGTACTTAATTTTTTACTATAGTAGGTGACTGGTTTCACTAAAACCACTGTTTAGAAAAGAAGTGTACTAAAAATACTTTGAGAATTTTAGTGCTCATGAAAAAATACCTTTCATCCCTGGAGACTGAAATCTTTTGCCTCCAGAATGATGGCAGGGACAACAGAGGTGATGATAGCACAGACTCGTCTCTGCCACCCCAACCATATGTCTGAACCAGCCCTGACTGCAAGCCAGCCCTTCTGGGGTTGTAACTAGGTGAGGTCTAGGAATAATCAGGTTCGTTTCCTCCTGGTTCATCCCATCTTTGACCATATTGCTGAGGAACAAGACTAAGATAACAAATCTCACAAAGCCACAGGACGGCTGTCAAACGTCACTAAGTTTTGATCACTCCTATGCTGGACGTACTGGATTTGATTACTGTTACGCAGTGACTCGGGCATGTCTAAGAAGTGCTAGGCTTGCCTGCAGGCCATTTATTATAGAGATAGGACAATTTGCTTCTGTGGTTAGCTAAAGGAAGAACCTCCAAATATGAAAACTGTCAGGATTTTACAACAATGTATAAAAGAGTCTTTTAAATAGAATACACAGTGGTCAGATTTTATACACTAAGTTCTTAAAGTAAAAAAAAAACACATGGACAGACATGTCAAGAGGTGGGGGTTGATCCAGACAGAAGTTTGTCATTAAATAAATGCGGACAAACCAACAACTGAGGAACAACATCAACAAGAACAACAACAAAATCAGCACAGCTATTATCTGCAGATCTCCAGGCTAGGCCCGCTCCAGTCCAGGCTAGCAAAGTCCAAACACAGGCTTGTGAATAAGGGCACGTACCCACACCTTTCGTTTTTCAAGATAGTGCCCACATGTGTTGGGGGGGAGCAGATCAGATAGAGTGCACATCTGTCTCACTAGGGCCACCTGCACTGTGGTCCTGCCAGGAGTCCTCCTTTGATTCACCTCCCATTCTCTCTGCCACAGTATCTTTGTGCGAAGACAGAAAGGACGAACGCAGGCAAACCCACTGCTGACGGTCCTCAAAAGATCTTGCACTCGTTAATGGAGAAGAGCTTTCGCCTATTCTGCCTTTTGGCTTGATTGACTGCTGTCCGCACGGCGTACTCAAACACCTGCTGCACCCCCCGGTTGCTGAGGGCAGAGCACTCCAAATAGCCTTTGGCTCGCACATCCTGGGCGAGCCGCTTCCCATCTATCGGGCTGATGCAGGAGGAACGGTAGGGCCCCGTGTCACGCTGGTCCGTCTGAGTAGCCACTACCAAAATGGGGATGCGGGGCAAATGGCTGCGTATCTCACCGATCCATTTGTTCCTCAGGTTCAGAAAGGAATTGTGGTTTGCCACTGAGTAGCACATTAATACTACATCTGCCTGTTGGTATGAGAGGGGGCGAATGCTTTTGAAGGCATCGCTGCCAGATGTGTCCCAAAGACCTAGGCTAATCTGTACACCATCCATGAAGACATCCACTCCGGTGTTTTCATATACAGTGGGTCTGTAGTCATCTGGAAAAGTCTCGGAGGTGAAACGTACCAAGAGAGATGTTTTCCCCACCGCGGTGTCTCCCACCAGGACACACTTGATTGAATCCAGCATTTTATTAATGTCCAGGGTCAAGAGCACTGTCTGGGTGCAGCAGGAGTGGGATGGAGGGATGCAGCGGTCTCGGGGGCTCTCTAGATAACTTCCATTTGGTGAGAAACCATTCAAATCTCTTTACTTCTCAAGGCTTGATTGTGTCACTTGAGTCTAAAATCCCCTTTTCTCCCACACGGCTCTGTGGTGCTGTCAGTTTTAATTCTTCAGTGAGTCAAATGACGTTTCTGGAAGATTAAAAATAAAATGTAACATTTATAACCCACAGAGAACAGACCATTCTTCATCAAGATAAAGCCACCTGGACATGTCTTTGGACAGCCATGGGGAGTACCCCACATCGAAGATGCTGAACGTTGCCATTCCCTCCCAGCCAGCTGTGTGTGTAGCAGCCATTCATGTAAATAACCTTCCTGCTGCTCCACGGGGGCTAACAGTCCTATCACTTCTGCCATTCTTCACTGACACCAACTATTTTTTCCCTCCAATTGTCTAAAAAACTAATAAAATCAATTTAACTTTGGTATAACTGCTACTAACCTGCTTTTAGTGAGACATTTCCTGCCTCTCACTTTCACCAAGACTGCCAAAATCCTGAATCCCTTTTAACCAATCAGTTCAGATTCCCTTGAAAAAGTACACATGCTCTCTAGAGGCAGCGAAGAGGAAAAAAAGCCCTTCACTAACCGATTTGACTATTTAAGCAATCCTGTAATGAACAGTAACACGGAACCACTTGTGACAATGAGGAAGCAAAGACTTCAGGTGTGAATCTTGAGTGACATGAACCTTAACGGTTTTCAAAAGCAATGTAGGATTCACAGCAAAAATGCAAAAAAGTTTGAATTTTTTCTTACAAATCACTTTCAGCAAGCAAGAAGCACAAGCCAAAGAAAGCCATGCCACCAGTGCTTGCCCCAGTCAAACAATTTCGTTTGAAGGGGATACAGCTACCCTGACATTTACTTTGTTGTAAAACTAAACTGAGAGTACCTCTTCAGAGTATGTAATTGCTTTTGAGCTCCTGCCAGCATTCAGTCAAATTTTCCTATTTTGAAAGCGTTTGCTTTTTCCTCACTAGCTGTGTGCAAGATTCACTGCTCACGCAGGGCGACACACAAGATGCTATGAAAATCACTAACTGCAAAACTGAAGGCAAACTAGTTCTGCTCAACAAAAGTAATTAAAAAAAGTATCACTGCATAATTTCACAATGTCCTGTGTATGTAACACAAATAATATATTTCTGTCTCCTTCATATATGAAGAGAGAAGTCACAGCTTAGGGTTATTTGCACAGAAATGAATGATGGCCACAAAAAGCATATACTCTACATTACTGTAACGCTCTCCAGTTTCATTACCCTAGCCCCCCCTACCACCACCACCACCCCACCTCCCAATTTCTAGTACCCTCAAAGCTTTGGCTTACTCCACAAAGGGTAACAACAACAAAGGAAAAGAAGAGAAAAGCGCTAGATGAGCTTAGAGAGAACATTTTACAGGCACTGACAGCTGCTACTGGCAACTCCCCTGCTTTCATTTTGTAGTGAGGCAGTGCCCTACCTCCTCGCGTGCTGCCAGCACAGCTGCATCTCTCCCACAGGCACTGACAGCTGCTACTGGCAACTCCCCTGCTTTCATTTTGTAGTGAGGCAGTGCCCTACCTCCTCGCGTGCTGCCAGCACACCTGCATCTCTCCCACCCGATGCACCAGCCAAAAGAAGATGTGCCAACGGCTTGGCCGGAGCACGTTGTTTTATAGAGGCGGCACCAAGCCTGCGGGGCAGCGCTGTGCATACTCGAGTTACGGGTATCTAGAGGAGTCATTGCAACAGACGCCGCTTCCTGGTCTGCCAGTGCGACCGTGCTCTCGCCATCTCAGCTCGCTTCTAGGAAGTGGGATGGAGGCCGAGGCCGAGGCCGCTTCACGGCATTCCTGGCTGCCGGGAAACAAGCTCTTCCGTGAATTTAAGTTTTGTTGGCAGCAGTTGGAAATTTGCTTTTAAAGGTTCAGGAGGTCTAACTCCACTGTCTCACCTTCTCCATTCCCCAAACAAGCTCTCAAGGGAATTAAACAAGACATTTACAAATTACATCTATGAAAAATTAAAAAAACATACGCAGGATACACAGCCCAATTACTTAAGTGCATCATCATCTTTCCTTCAGTGTATTCTACTTCAAAATTGTGTCAGCAGTACAGTTTTAAAACACCAGAATTCACCACAAGCCAGTAGCATGTGATTCAGACAAAACTGCATGCTCCCAGGAGAAAGTCAGCATGTACCAAGTCTCCTTTTCAGAACAAACATTTCTTTGGTGCAGGCAGTCCTTAATGCCTTCAGGCTCATTATTTTGTGTATATTTGCATGTGGGGGAAAATAAGGATGTCCAAAGCATGACTTTTGCTATTTCATAAATGCCAGAACAGAGAAAGACAGATAAAAGGATTGTTCTGCTACGCAGCTTGTTGATTACCAGGTCTGATTACGTTGGCTATTTTGAAAGAAAGTATATAAATGATTAAAGACTAAAAAAGATATTAAGGACTAGTGAATATGGCTAGTTGACACAATAACAAAAGCTGAAATATTCCACCATGACAGTGTGGAATTGTTTTCAAAGCAAATTATATTGTTCTACAATCCATTGATGAATAAAAATGAACAGTATATAACAAGGTCCATATTCTGGTCCTGTGGACAGATTGCCATCAGTGGTCCTGATCTTGCTTTTGTTCACAGCCACTTGGAGTTCATGTGCCTCCATATATAGTTGGGACTACATATGTGCAAATTGAAGATATATTTTTAATTATTCACATAGCCTGTCCTTGACGCAGCCTCAGGGTAAGAGCAGTATTAGTGTATTAAAATAATTACGCAAGTTCATCTCAATGAATGGAAAACTCTTTAGGTTAAACATCAACAGAAAACAGTGCCCTTTAAAGGACAGATCAGTACTGGGCACTTCTACACATCAGTGTAAAACCAGTTGTGTAAATATTTGCAAAAGCTTTGGTTCCTTTCTCTCATATTATATACTACGGTCTTGGTCTGACAGTACAGCATGCTACACCCATTAAAAGACTGGACAAGATCTTCTGATCACAGGTGGCTGAGTCTAAGCTGCTGACAGATTTTTTTCCCCCCAACAATTTGGGGGAAAAATCCAAATTTTAGTAACTTTACCAAGTCCATTTTGGATCTGGAATTCTAGATATAAGCCTGTATCTTCTCTTACACTACTTCGGTTTATGCTTTCATCACTCGTAACAATAGAAGATTTTATTTTAATGATAAGGCGAGAGCTTTTATAATATTGTTAAGTATAAGAATATATGTCTAATTCTGTTGCAGTCACTCTGAATAGTGACCTTTAATAAACTTTGGGATTAACCTCAAAGAAAATTCTTGCACAGTTTTAGATAGAGCACTGTTTTTTCAATTGTATCATATTGTCTATGTAACTAATGCAACATTTATTGTCTTTGCTTTCCTATTTTTGTTCCCTCTGTCTTTGCAATACAGAGCCTTGGCACTGGTGTGTGGTTATAGAGCCCTCGGACTTCACTGACGACGTGAGCATAAGAAGCCATACAACAGCCGCTCTCTGGGCACTGCCTGTCCTGCACCTCGGCAATCTCATGCAAGTAAATGCCTCACACTTGATCACGGCTGAATATGATATGGAGAAGGTGAGCGGTGTTACCAACCCGTAACGCGATGGGATGAGAAGAGGAGCACAGCAGCACCAAGCTCTTTGCAGGTGGAGGATTCAATCCCATGAAAAACTAATCTAATATTTGTTGAAACAATTCTACCAACAAAGGAAAGCAGGACTGCTTGTTTCAGAAGGAGTAAGTTTATCAACTGAACCAAATGGGATTTTCATTTATGCCAGGAATGCCTCTGGCATGTTCTAAAAGATCATTGTGAGCATGGCTCACTATGGCTAAACATCTGCAGGGGATGGACAGTGTCTTATGATAGGGGAAAATAAAAAGAGTCAGGAACCCCTAATGTCAAAACCTGTCTTGGATATTGATAGTGCACCCTCGGGTAGGCTGGGATTTGGAAGAAATTAGCTCATACGTAAACAAACCATGCAGGCAAGACAAAAGGCTTTTCAGATCAGGCAGTCGCAAAATGCTTCAGAGAGTTAAAGCAATTAACATGCTATCTATTATTGCCGTTATCCGGTCCCTACCACAATTAGATCTCAGTGCAGTTCCTGTTGATATCAGGATAAGAGCAGGCTAATTTTTCAGTTTGAGCACTGTATACACTACCTCTTGAAGAGAACTGATGTTGCAAGGAAATAAAAATATTTATACTAATAAAAAAAATGGAAAACCACTGCAGATACTTCCACTTGCTGTCCAATGCTTGAATGCACATATTGTCTTTGCCTGCCCACATTACTCCCGTAAGTCTCACCTCATGCAGAGGTGGGGTCTGCAAAACAGTGTCTACAGTTCTTCTCTATCATGTTGATTATAATCACTGCTCCTTCTAACTGCACCGCAGATACGTAAAAACTCTCCTTGCATCTCTTAGAGGCTCTCGAGGAGAGGAAGGAGACGTGGAGACTACCCTTACTGACCAGAAGAGCAGGCAGTTTTACGCCTTCACCTCCGTGGGTGCAGTGGGCGCTGCAGGGCATGGACAACTCCTGGGAGCAGAAGGAGAGGGAGGAGGAGGAGGAGGGCTGGCAGGAAATCAAGACAGGGCAGAGATGCTGTTGCCTGGTTAGGGGCAGCACCCAGGAGATGCAGCAGGGAGACGATTGGCCCTGTGACAGAGACACTGCGACTGTTGTGGATCCAGTCTGGACACTCAGCTAGATCACCAGGTTGCCAAGGTGATCTAGCTTGTTTTCAACTCCGTGGGTGAGTTGTACTTACTCCATTCAGATACAAAACTCCAGACTGCTGCACAGGCCTTTGCTGCTACAGCACGGGGCTACTGAAAACTAATACATCAGCTGTAGTCCATCCGGAGGCTGCAGCTGGCCTGCAAGCAAATGCCCCCTTGCTGCGAAGTTTCCTGTCATGCATTCATAAGCTGATGCTCTGACATTTGTGTTAGCTGCCTCCTGGTTTCTGAACTCATTTTAAGATGATTTTGATCTATAGCACTAAGTGGCCCTGGTCTTGCCACTCTAGGAAACAGCCTCCCTCTGCCTCAGACAGTGTCAGCGTTTCAGTCCATAGTGGCATTCAG